TTTCTCTGTTTTCCTTGGCTATACTCTACTATTATGTGTCTTCGTGGTTTAAACAGGTGCATTTTGTGAGTGAAGGGATTAAGAAGAAGAAGCCCGTGTGCATTAAATAAATCGTGATTCCGCATAAATAATTTATTCTAGTGTAAAATATACAAAGTAATGTTGGTGGGTCGTAGTTGAACTTTTGAAAACGATTACGAAGACAATGCCCGGTATAGTTAATCTGACTTGAAATCCTGTACCTCGGGTATTTGAAACAAAAAAAATATCGTTATAACAGCTTTCATGCATTTGAATCAATAATCTTTAGAAAAGCTTACACGAATATGAATAAACATTTGAATTCTCATGTGTCTTTTAAGACTAGAATATTTCAGCCTTAACAACTTCCATTTTTACAATTTAGTATCATAATTTGAAGATCCAGATGAAAATGTGCGGCTTTCAAAAAAAAAAAAAAAAAAAGTGTTTATTCCGTCCGAGATATTACGTAACGTTTTAACAACCTCCGCGCGACCCCGCGAGCCGCATTTTTGATGGCAAAACAGTAAGTCAGTTCTCAGAAAGCCGATCTTCTACTCCATCATCTATTCCTTCTTCTAATTTTTTTTCTTTTCCTTCTTTTTCTTCCTGTTCTGATTGCCAGAGGTTTTAAGATGTGGAGCCTATATATTTCTCTACGAAGAAGAAGAAAAAGAGCAAGAACTAGAAGAAGAAGAACAAGAAGAAGAACAAAAAAAAAAAAAAAAAAAAGAACAAAAGGAAGGTAAAAAAAAGGTAAAGGTAAAGTCGGGAGATGTAAACTAGCATCATTGCACGCAGTTATAAACAATAAGTGTTCTGCCACTAGTACAGACAGCTGATAAGACCTTGTCCGCCTGTATCACCATTCACACGTAACTCCGTAGCTACAGCGACGTTCCTCTATTTAGCCTAGAGTGTTAACTCTGGCAGCCATTTCCTAGAGGTTGGGTAAACCCCCGGAACCGCCTGGTTTCGAACACCGGCCGTGGGCTTCAGCGAGTCGCAGCTGGATTTTAGAGCGACCCCGACAAAAAGAAGCAGAGCAGAAGAAGAAGAAAAAGAAGAGGAGGAAGAAGAAGAAGAAGAAGAAGAAGAAGAAGAAGAAGAAGAAGAAGAAGAAGAAGAAGAAGAAGAAGAAGAAGAAGAAGAAGAAGAAGAAGAAGAAGAAGAAGAAGAAGAAGAAGAAGAAGAAGAAGAAGAAGAAGAAGAAGAAGAAGAAGAAGAAGAAGAAGAAGAAGAAGAAGAAGAAGAAGAAGAAGAAGAAGAAGAAGAAGAAGAAGAAGAAGAAGAAGAAGAAGAAGAAGAAGAAGAAGAGGAAGAAGAAGAAGAAGAAGAAGAAGAGAAGAAGAAGAAGAAGAAGAAGAAGAAGAAGAAGAAGAAGAAGAAGAAGAAGAAGAAGAAGAAGAAGAAGAAGAAGAAGAAGAAGAAGAAGAAGAAGAAGAAGAAGAAGAAGAAGAAGAAGAAGAAGAAGAAGAAGAAGAAGAAGAAGAAGAAGAAGAAGAAGAAGAAGAAGAAGAAGAAGAAGAAGAAGAAGAAGAAGAAGAAGAAGAAGAAGAAGAAGAAGAAGAAGAAGAAGAAGAAGAAGAAAGAAGAAGAAGAAGAAGAAGAAGAAGAAGAAGAAGAAGAAGAAGAAGAAGAAGAAGAAGAAGAAGAAGAAGAAGAAGAAGAAGAAGAAGAAGAAGAAGAAGAAGAAGAAGAAGAAGAAGTAGAAGAAGAAGAAGAAGAAGAAGAAGAAGAAGAAGAAGAAGAAGAAGAAGAAGAAGAAGAAGAAGAAGAAGAAGAAGAAGAAGAAGGAGAAGAAGAACAACAACAACAACAACAGCAACAACAACAACAACAAGCAGCAGCAGCAAAAGAAGAAGAAGAACAAAAAGTAAAAGAACAAAAAGAAAAAGACGAACAAGAAAAAGAAGAAGAACAAGAAAAAGAAAAAGAACAAGAAGAATAAAAAGGAGAACCAGAAGAAGAACAGAGAGAACAAAAAAAGGAGAACAACAACTACAAGAAGAACATTCAGAAGAAGAACAAAAAAAAAAAAAAAAAAAAAGACAAGAGGAATAAGAAAAAGAACAAGAAGAACACACACGCGCGAACAAGAAGAACGAGAAAAAACAATACGGAGGAACATAAAAAGACGTCACACAACTTTTTCAAGTGCTCATCCTCTGAAAGTACTTACTTTTTATCTGAAGATGAGCAGTTGACATGTCTGTATCCAGACCCACACTGGCGATGCAAGAATACGCCCCTGTATCGCTCGTCTTTGCGTTCCTTATAATAAGCGCGAACTTCGATCCATCCTCTTTCTGCACAAGGCGGCCTGAGTCTTCTGGATTCAAGAACTGACCATCAAACTTCCAGGTGACCACAAGCCGTTCTTCATCCAGAGGATGGACATCCACTTTGCAGACAAATTTGGCCCTCTCACCTTCCTCCACCACAACGTTTCGGAGCTGTTCAGAGATCCTCACATACCCTGTGAATAAGGCGTGGGAAAGCATACTTATAATGTGTGTCAATAAGACGTATCTAAACGAAATAGTTATGAACAAAGTATAATGCTTCAGAGTTTTGTCTTCGCGTCATCCTCTCTCAAAGTTAGATCACCTAGACGACTGCCGAAAGCGATCCTCTGAAATCTTTAATGAAGTTTGCACTAGGGGTCTTCCGAGCATACACACAATGAGGCCAAATCGAAAGACATCGAAACTGACGTCTAAAGGGTTAAAACGTTTCAGTAAACACGGAAATCTAGACTACGTTGCTTTGTTTCTTCTTCTCTAAATCTAGAACTTTGAGTTAATACCCGAGAAGGTACAGAGTTGTTTCCCTCTCTACCACTTTCAGAACTTTGAGGTTTCAAGTTTGAAGGTTGAAGTCTGAACGACAGATCAACATTATTATGGCACGCGGGTACTAACCCATAAGTGCTGCTTTATTCTTCTAACTCGTCCGAAGAAGCTCAGCACAGTACACAGGCTCTGTGGCACCGCCGAAGGTCCTGAAATACTTTTGGCAGATTTTTAACTTTAAATTTTGCCTGGGCAGAGCAGTTAGGCTACTCTTTTCGATTTATAACTACAAAGGGAATTTTTAGGTGCGCAACAATGAACACGGGCGTTCGACCTCACTACCCAGAGAATTACTAGAAGACCAAGTCCAGGTGGAAGAATCTCAGCCCTTACCGGGATTGCACCTGGAACCTTCAGACTGGATGCGGACACCATGCCTTGAGACCACTCAGCCCCATTGCAACTTTGAGTTAACGCGGTAACCTTAAAAACCGTGTTGTGTCCCCTCTATAGTCCTCTAGAACTTTGAGTAAACACCGTAACATAAAAGCACACTGAGTTGTTCCCCATCCCTTCCCTTTAGAACTTTGAGTAAACACCGTAACATAAAAGCACTGAGTTGTTTCCCATCCCTTGCCTTTAGGACTTTGAGTAAACACCGTAACATAAAAGCACACTGAGTTGTTTCCCATCCCTTGACTTCAGAACTTTGAGTAAACACCGTAACATAAAAGCACAATGCGTTGTTCCCCATCCCTTCCCTTTAGAACTTTGAGTAAACACCGTAACATAAAAGCACACTGAGTTGTTTCCCATCCCTTGCCTTTAGGACTTTGAGTAAACACCGTAACATAAAAGCACACTGGGTTGTTCCCCATCCCTTGCCTTTAGAACTTTGAGTAAACACCATAACATAAAAGCACACTGAGTTGTTTCCCATCCCTTGCCTTTAGAACTTTGAGTAAACACCGTAACATAAAAGCACACTGAGTTGTTTCCCATCCCTTGCCTTTAGAACTTTGAGTAAACACCGTAACACAAAAGCACACTGAGTTGTTTCCCATCCCTTGCCTTTAGAACTTTGAATTTGGTTTGAGATTTGAACATAGGATCAACATCATGGCACACGGGTAGTAACCCATAAGTGCTTCGTTCTTCTTCTTACTCAAGTCTGAATCCGAAGAAGCTCAGCGCAGTGCACAGGCTCTGTAGCACCGGCGAGGATACTGAAAATACTTTGGGTAGATTTTTAACTCTTCATTTGCTTGTGCAGTGCCGTTAGGCTATTCTGTTCGATTTTCAACTATCAAGGGATTTATTATAAGCGCAACAATCCATACGGGCGTCCGATCTCACTACCCAGGGACCAGTAGGAGTTACTAGTAAGTCCACGTGAAAAATCCAAGCCCCCCCCCCCCCAAAGCGGATTTAACTAGAACATCTAGCACTCGAGGTGGACACTATACCCCGAGACCACGCCGGCCCCCTAACTTTGAGTAAACATGGTTAACTGAAAACACACAGTCGCACCCCCCCCCCCCCAACTTTAGAACTTTTAGTAAACACAATTATCAAGAATATAGAGTTGTGTCCACTCCCCCCAACCCCCACCTTTAAGACTTTAAGTAAACATATTTGATACAGCAATGTGTAGTTATTTACACTTGACTTGACTTGACTTTCTACCCCACTAGGACATCACACAAGCGATAAACACCCGATGACACAAAGTGCCACCATGCGGATGAGGATCGCCGTGGAGAGGTCCCAGAAACCGCATTCAGACATTTGGCCATATTTATGGCCTGCCTATATTGCGGCCCCTGGTAAAAGCCAGAGTAGGGCTTCAAATGACAAAAAATTTCGTCCTGAAAAGGACGAAACTGGATTATTAGTTATTTACACTCTCCAACCTTTCGAACTTTAAAGTAAACACGGTAACATATTCTTCTTCTTCTTCGCGTTCGCCGGCTGTAATCTCCAGCGAAAAGTTATGGTTGTTCGAACACTTCTGGACTGCAGTCCTGTTCCAGAACCTGAGTGTTGCGTGTGCATCCATTTGACAGATCTGTATGCAGTTTTCCCCTTTACATGTCTAGAAATTTAAGTAAACAATCTAACCTAGAATACAGTGGGTTGTGTCCCCTCTCTCACCTCTAGAACTTTGAGTACCCACCGAAACCTAAAACAAAATGAGTTGTTTCCCCTCTCCCTCCTGTATAATTTTATAGAAGTCGTTAAGTTTTTTCCGCAGTGCGATGTTTAGTAATTTTAGTAAACCTAAAACCTACAATACCTTGAGTTGTTTCCCCTCTCCAGCTTATAGATCTTCAAGTAAACAAGTTAATGTACAACCCATTGAGATGTTCACCCCCCCCCCCTAACCCCCCAACCCCCCCCCCCCCCTCTTACCCCTAGGACGTCGAATACATAAAATAACCTACAACGCATCGAACTGTTTCCCCTCTCCCAACTTTAGAGCTATACATAAACACCTTAACCTAGGACAAGGTGAGTTATTTCCCTCGCTCACTGTTTGACTACTGTATGAAAACGGCACTTGAACACACACTGGGTTGTTTCCCATCTCTCACCTCTATAATTTCGTATGATCATACTCAGTAACAACAAAAGCCGTAATCACTCATGAACCACGAGAACGTGGAAATAAAAGCGAACAACCTATCCCAAACAATAACTGGGACGACACTACACATTTAGCATAACGAAGGACCGAGTGAATGAGTGAGTAAGTGAGTGAATCAGTGAATAAATATACAACCTTATCACAATGAGCTGTTCTCTAGAATCTAAATGAAAACAGTTGAATATTTTCCTAGATCAGCCCTTTGTAGGGAAAACAAGAATTGACCTTTGAAAACAACTATATTATAGCAGTAGACTAACTAACTAGTGGCTTCCTTGAAAGTCTCAGGGCAGGGAGAAGCTGGGAGCATGAACTACACACAAATAAGCCAGTGAAACGTACGTACAGGCTAAAATCAGGTCCTCGGACAAAGCCAGAAGTCTAAACGGACGAACAAATGGACTTTTCGCCGCAATTCACAGCCGGTGAACACACAGAAGAAGACATTCAAACTGTCATGATATACAGTCTGTCTCCCAACAGCGGCTAGCAGTCTGTCTAAGTAAAGTAAAAAAAAAAGTAAAGGACCCTTCCCACGCCTTTAGGCGTATAGGGCATATAGGGCTAGACCTATATTTTTATAGACCAACGGCACAAGATGGGTGATGTAGTCTGTCTAAAGTATGAGCCAAAAGCACCGCCTCCGTGCTCCAGCGACGATTCCAATGGACAAACAGGTTAAGAAATTTGCCATGAAAATCGACCCACCCCTGCCTTAGCCTTACATCCTTTTACCCAGTTTAAACACAATGCCACACGAAGTCGGACACAGTGCTACATTCTGTTACTTGATTAATGCAGTGCTCCTTGAGACGGTCGGCTCTATGGCTAAGTCGATGCGAACGCTTCGTAATGCCGGGGTACCGCGTTCGATCCCAGCTGCGGGCCATACGCCTTTCGTTGGTTTCGACAGTGGTATCAGGGAGCCGACCGTCCAAGAAGTAATGGCAAACTACTGGACGTAAATTTGCCTAGAAAAACCACACAACAGCCAGGGGCTGCTGGGGTTGGATCTGCAACGTCCTGTAAAAGATACGGAACTAACCTTGGTCTTTAAGACGCGGGCCAAATACCGAGACTATTGTCATACTTCTTATTACCTTCCTACTTGCTTGTTTTACCGTTAATTTCAATTAGCCACTATTTATTGTAGTTTATTTCTCTTTATAAAGTTCGCTGTTGTCATTACGCCTAATGCTGTCTTTGAGAATGTTGCATGTTTAGGCACCAGTCTCTTCCACTCTTTCGTATCCTTTACAGGACGTTGCAGAACCAACCCTAACAGCCTCTGGCTGTTGTGTGGTTTCTCTAGACAAATTTACGTCCAGTAGTTTGCCATTGCTTTCTGGACGGTCGTCTTTCTTGATACCACTGTCGAAACCAACGCAAGGCGTATGGTCCGCAGTTGGGATCGAACCCGGCATCACGAAGCGTTCGCATCGAATTAGCCACAGAGCCGACTATTCCACTCTACCACTCTTATACCACTGTCTGATCACGACAATAACGGGCTTCTATTTTTAATAAATGGAGCTACGCAGACATCGAAGCCTGGCTGGCCAAAGACCGTGAATTTGTGACACGTCTGCTTCTTCTTTTGTCCCAATGCTTACGCTGTAAAACGTCTCAGAGAGGTGTTCTATGTAGTTCTTTGCTTCTGCTAGTTGCCTCGCTAGTAAGTGTTGATGTCCTGTTGCGTTTCTCTGGCGTCCCACTCCACAGACATCTTTCTTGGTGGGTTTCTCTTGTCTTGTAGCCGGCTGTTCTGACGTAATACGTTCTAGCTGCTGGTTGATTTTTTTCCACTCTTACCATTTGATTCTATGAGGTTCTATGAAACCATTCACCAATACTGAGCGTACTATCGTTTTTAGTTCTTACTTGTTGACTCTGTCTCTTATGTTTCCCCTCCCCCTTCCCCATATTTCTTAAACATCTCATACAAACGTATAACAACTAACTTCTAAGCACGTTTCTCTTTATAAAACAGCTAAACAATTCTTCTTTATTTTATTTAGTTGATCCTCTTGTAGCCTG